AAGGTCTTTGTCAAGAGTCCTTTCTTCCCTCGGAGCATGTCCTATGAAGTGCCTTGAAGCATCTTGAAAACATTCCCCGTCGATAGACTTGACACTCATGTAGGAGTTTGCCCTGGAGCAGTCACGATTCCCTTTTCAAATGATTTCCCATCAATAATCCATCCCGAGCCGACGACAGATTTTTTTTTCCCTCCTTGTTTTCTCGGCCCCCCCTCTAGTGTCCTATAAGTATCAGAGGGTTCCATTGCCGGAGACCCACCATTCAACAGTAAGTGGGAATTGTAATTGCGCTGACAAAGCGATCATTGTGCAGGGAGCGACTTATTTCTTCTAATATTTTCTTTCAAATTGAATGTATTTCAATGAGAATTTGAATGCATGAAAAAAGTGAATTGGAAACCATTAACCGTATGAAACTTTTATCCCATTTTTGAGTTCACGTTTTAAGTGTCGAGTAAAGACTCGACGTTTTCAGTCAATTGAGAGAAATCGAATAATGCTTCGAATAATCGAATGGCACAATTCATTGGTCGTACTTTGGTCGATGTGACACTTCCTCCTTGGGCCTATGTTGGAAGGCCTTAGCACTCCGTAAATATTCTGCCATTATCTTACCTGCCCGGATTGGCTTGGAGCTCATCGGTCTAAATTTCCCTTTCACTGATGCGGAAGCCCTTCGGAGGAGATTCCGCATTCCACTACAGAGATTATGCAGGGGTCGAGATGTCAAAACGCATTATGGTAGCGTCAGAGACTTAATTAATGGTGTTAAAAAATGGTTGATGGTAGTAGGTCCACGGACTTCTTTTTTTTTACGATATACATGCTTGGCACAATGCCCCCTGCCGACACCAAGACCCATCATCATCTCTCTTTCCCCCTTTCGTGACGCAACTTTTTTCGACTTTCACATGACAGGACGGACAGGTATACTCATTCACCTTATGAATCCTCATAAATGCCACATCCACGATCCTCATTCAATGACGCATTGATGATAACCTCTCGATACCAAAACAGGTTCCTGCACGAAGTTCTTCGCACTTTATCATGCCTACCATATCTGCCTATGCACATGCATATGCCTACCATATCTACAGTAAGTCCATGTGGATGGGGTGTGACGTGTTTGCATCATTTTACTGTGTACTGTATAATTTTACGCTATAAGATATGAATAACTACTTTGGGACTTTCAGGAAGTTATTATACTTCATTTGCCACTACTCCGTACGATTGGCATTTGTTTTCAGCAACAGGTAATCAAGACCCATGACGCCAAAAATAGCGATGCGTCTAGAAAGTTACGTCAAGATTGAGATATGAGGAATCATCATATTTTTTCTTGCAGAGGAAATGAAACCTAGTAAAATCCATCGTGCGATAATCGATGTTGAATGGCACAAAAAGTTTAAGAATCAAGTCCAAGATCAACGCGGAGCAATGCGATCGGCAGAAAAAGTATTGTTAAAGGTGTTTCGTGATAAAAATGGCTTGATTTTAGAGAGTTCCCTAGAGGAGGTAATTATTGATAGTGATTCGTACTGTGATTTACTGAAAAATCTTCTGACCTGAACGCCGAGGTCTCATCTCGAAAGGGATTCATTTGCAGCACGACAACGCCCGTCCTCACAATGCTCGTGCAACTGTTGACACCATTTAAGACGTGCATTTTGAGGTGATACCCTTACCCACCCCACTTCTCCCCTGACTTGGTCTCAAGTGACTATCATCTCTTAAGGTCATTCAAAGAATCAAATAGCGGAAAGCACTTCCACACTAGCGAAAGGCTTCAAGCTGCGGTGCATGATAGGCTGCACGAGCAACCCAAAGGGGTCTTCTTGGACAGAATCCAAGCATTAGTTTTACGTTTGAAGAAGTGTATCGCTCGAGAAGGAGACTATGTTGAAAGGTGAAGAGGTTTTGAAAACTTTCAATAAAAACAATTACTTCACTTGTGCCATTTTCATTTGAAACGCTCTCGTATATATACTAGTATGTTACGCGTGATTCGTTGAACAGCTCATTGCGTGCACTGCACAACGTTTCTGCCTATTTCATAAAAAAAAGCAACCATTGTGCTCATTGCATGGAATGAGCAATTTTATTGCAAAGTACGTGATATAGGAAAAAAAATTATGCCGCTTCCATGCCTTGAGCAATTGCTGAATTCACATCATCCGCTGTCAATTACATTGAAAAAATGTGACAATATTTTCGGAATTATGCGACCATGTCCTAAGGAATCAATCGCTACTTGACAATATCTTCAACCAAGCAATATTCAGTAGTGATTCAGATAGGTATGACCAGAGTGGCATGAACTCTTGCATCTAATCCCTCCTTTTCTCACAAAAGCATATTGAGGTTTGACACCTGGTCTTACAAAGGCATCTTCTGAAGCCCTGCCTACCTATTGAGGCGGCAGTAACGATTTCGCGCAATGGCTTCTCTTCGTTGTTTCTTCCCTCTTACTGATTCCATTGCGTTCCTTTTCATCTAGATGTTGATTGTTCCACCTCTGGTTCCAATCTTGTACTTCTCGTCCTTCCTTACAAAAACCAATCTAATTACGTTTGTAAGATCAGTTCGGCCTCGATCAAATTCAGAGACGCAAACAGTAACATTTCATGTGCTTTTTTTTATCATAAAGGGTTCACCCCCTGCCATAGTTAACCCCTTCCATCCTCAATACCAGCTTTATTGCCACTGGCACTGTCTAACCTTGCTTGTTCTTTCCCTTTATGTAGACCAGGTTCTCTTCACCTCTTTCATTCGATCGGTGATAGAACGATTGCACATAGTTGTGCCAGTCATTTTCGTGCTGTTGATGCCCATATTTGCGTCTCCTTTTTTTTGCTAGAGATGGAGTTAATATTGATTAGGCCAGATTCTTTCTAACAGGAAATCTGTATCTGTTTCCGAATATGACAGGTTTGAGATAGAATCATCACCGGTCCATTGTAAGGGGAGTGGTGGCTGCCGGGTTGTCCGTTTATGCCCATGAGCTATAAAAACCCCAGCTCCGCGTCCACGCGACACCTGTGCTACAACAATCTAAGAGAAAACCTTATGCCTTACAGCAGGGGTGTCAAACTGGCGACCCGCGTCAGTCCATTTTGTCTGCCACGCGAAGTCCTCTTCAACAGTTGGTTACGGAAAAGTACTGCAAATTTCAGCCTCTTTGCATTAAAGATTAGGTGTTACGTTTTTATTGTGGCCCCTAATCACCCTTGAAGGCTTCCATCCGGCCCCCAGCACAATCGAGTTTGACACCCCTGCCTTACAGGATAAAGGAATGGATGCATCTTGCTGATGTGTTACTTGGGGAGGAGGAAGTTTTTCACAAGATATTCCAGCAACGTTTAAGAAATGTTGATAAATAATGTTGCATCTATGTGTAAATGTCCAAAACGTCAACGTTTCTCAAATGTTGCGAAGGAACATTGCATTTACGTTGCAAATCGTTACTTATTCACTACATATACGTTGCAGAAACGTTTCAGGATTTATGTTGCTACAATGTCGATTAAAAACGTTGCTTCACGGGCACCTAATCAGGGCCTATATTGGCATTGCGGAAAAGCATAGGCTTCACTGGCCCTGAACTGGACCGATATTCGGTCAATATTGAATTATTCATTTCATCATTTCGTACCATATACTTCACCTCTCTACCCAGATATTCCCATCAACAGGACGAAGCTTGTACTGGTATAACCCTTACCCATGCATAATACAGTATCTGCGTCATGACAGTACATTTTTGGAGGTGATCTTCCCCTGGATGTGCTAAATATGGCACATTACAGAAAAAGGTCCGACCGCAACGTTCTATGGAGTGCCCACGAAATCAGTCCTTCTTTTCCTCATCTAACTAGATGAGGAAAAGAAGTTAAAAGGCTCAGGATGAGGAAATGGAGGATTGAGATCACAGACTCTCTACCATCAGTTTTTATTGTCCTGTAAGATGTAATCGACGAGTTCTTGGAAAAGGGTTCTTTTTGGGAATAAGAGCTTTTTTATCTTGACCCCATGAATCTGTCTCGAATATGAGGATAACAAGTGATGAAGTGTCCGTGTTCATTGATTCTTATAATGAGACAATGCGAGACATCTGGCAAGGTACTAAACATTCCTGTGCGGAATGATTCCAGGGAAAGGGAGAAGGGCACTTTTATGTACTGTGAGAAAAGCGAGACCTACGTCTCCATCTCAGGACGAGGAGGACAACTTTACGATTTCCTAAAACTTTTAAGTCCATGTTGTATCAGAATGTTATCGCCACGTTGTCGATGTCAAGAGTGTCAACATTCTCTCAATGTTCATAGCAAATGTTGCAATGACATTCGTAAAAGTGTCGCAGCAACATTCCAAGGGAAAACATTGAAGCAATGTTTTATCAATGTTGTAATCAACATGCAACATAGAGCAACATAGTCAACATTTCGGAAACGTTTCATCAACATACTGTGTTACTTGGGAAGTCTCGGGAAATACTGTATTTTCAATATTTTTTTATCCGTTTCAGAGGAAAGCCTTGATGTAGAAGTGTTGATGGCAGGAGAATCCTCGTCTCTACCATTCTGCCCACCAGGATGAAGCCGGAACCTCTTCGTCTCATCATTGTACCAGGCAAGAACGGCTCTCCTACGTATAGACTGCCTGAATGGCTACGATAGCTCTTGAATGTCTTCCATGGGATCTTGACGATGATAGTGCGCTTGAAGGAAGTCGGTGAGACTATGCCCTTAAGGCAGGGATCGGGAGCTCATGACTCGAGGCTAAAAATCATGGTTGTTCCTCATTTTTCTCATGTATCAAAAATGCTCATGTCTGTTGCTAACGTCAGTAAAAATTCTGTTGTTTTGAAAATCTTGGGCTCACGAGCACTTATTCTTTATATAGTTCACATGACTAAAAGGGTTCCCGACCCCTGCCCTAAGGGATCATTTGACTAACCAGGCGAGGACAATGAAAGGAATGACCACAACAGCAATATGGCAGGTCCTGGTTTAACGCAACTTAATCGGAAGAGATTCTAACTGATCCTCTATTTTTTCCACTATTGACTCGAGGAAAGTTGACACGGAGGATCGATATGGATTTAAATTTGAAATTTACATAGAGAATATTTTAGTCGTACAAGTAGGTTCTTTGGAAACGGATGAAGCCAGGGATAAAATGTCAGAATGAAAGTTAAATTTAAAAAAATAACAAGGAATAATAACGAAGGATGAGCATAATAGGATTGATGAACTTGATGAATCTGATGACTCCCACGATTGTAGCTCGAATTTAATTAAATGCAAACAATTTAAGACTCAACTTTAAAAATTCAAGTCATGAACTTTATGGGCTAAAAATTAAGATTTCATATCTCCTTTTCTTCTATCAAGTTTTAGCCTTGCTCTCACTGGGGACGGGAGTGAGTGTGAGTCAGGATGATCTTGTGGCGGAAGAGAGCGTGTACTTCCCGCAAATAGTGGACAGGTCTGAATACGGAACTCGACTGGACACATTCAACAGTCTGGACCGAACCCGTTCCCGGAAGGTTAGGTTCCGGATCACTACCACTACTGACCGGACGACCACTACCACCGATCGGTTACCAGTGAAACCCCACCAAGCCACTTCCACTCGACCTTCAACATCTACCCATGCAGAAGATCTCAAGTACCTGACGGAAACGTATTATACCAAGGAGAGCAAGGGAGTGACGGAACCCACCAGGTTCCCTGTTACCGCCACCTCCTTTCCCACGTTGAAGAATGCGGCGAAGAAACTTGCCAAGACGACAAAGAAAAAGAAATCACGCCTGGTAAGCGTTAGAGGCCCATATGTTAGCTATTATACATGGTTATAGTGGTTTTTAATACTTATTCTATATATTCCTATATGTGAGCTATCTTGCAGGTAACTACACTGGCTTAAAATACTTGGAGTGGAAAATGTCGGGAAGAAACAGAATAGTATCCTTTCTCTCTTGACAAGGAAAGGAACGCTCGTCTAAGAAGTTACAACTTCCCTTGAGTATCTCAATGGCACTGACTCAGACACTTTTTTGGTACTGGATTTCGATCGTTATTCTCTGGACTTTGATCGGTAGACCTACTTTGTCTGAAGCTGATACACGTCAATAAGGTGAAATTCTCCTTGGACCACTATTGGAACGTTGAATTCACATAAAACAGAAATATTCGACATTTGGTCCCGATACGCCCAAAATGTCGATGAATAAAATACTGATATATCAATACAAGTCAAAGAGGAAAACATTTCGAAGAGGAGAAAGTAGGAAATGCTTTTTATTTCTCTCAATATCCAGATCACAGCCGTTAATTTTTTCTTCTCTGTCAAAAGAAACTATACTCATTTAGTTAGACTATAGTTTAACTCTGAACTAGCCCAGTTACTCAGTGTTGATAAAATATCTTCTAGATACAGTTACAGTCACACACACCGTTTTTCGAGCTTCTTTTGACTAACGGCCCGTGGTGAAACTACGGTCTAAACCAAACATGAAAGCAATGATTGCGGCTGAGCTACATTCCACCCGTGCATAATTGGATGACTCCATAAAGAGAATCTGCGGTTTTGCCATTGCAGTCTCGTTTATCCCAGCTATTATGCATGAACCGGGTGATGCAATAACCAACTGCACATTTCTCGCATAAACTGCTTCATCGTTGAAGGCCTCACCAGGGTGGGATGAAACATCAGGACTCTTCCTGGTATAATTGATATTCGCGAGCTTAACAAGGCAATACAGAAAGAATCCCAGAATACTAAACTCTATCGTTCTTTTTTCTCACTTTCTTTACCGGGTGCGTCGAAAAGCTACCTTGTCACCGTGCAAAATCGGTGCTTTGATGGAATTTTCCCAAGGAAATCTGCCCAATAAACTTCTTATGAGGACATAACTATGGATATACGCTTCAATGAGCAATGACATGAGCTAAACAAATGCCTCCAAGACAGCAAAATAGAGGGTCAAGACGACAAAGCGGTTCTTAAGTATCAGATCACCTTGTATAAGAAGGGGTGTGTATGAAGGGCTCATCCCTGCGCCATGCAAAACGTCTCTTACGCAAGGGATCCGCCTTGCAAAATCGGCTTGCCTAAGTTCTTTCTCGTCCCCCGCTGGGTGCCATGAAGAACATCCTCATTCAGATGAAAGCACTCCATCGCGCTGCCAAACGACCCCTTCATCTAAAAGTGAAATCCACCAATTGCTCAGGCATATACGTAACAAAACCGAGACGATTCTGATCGTTTCTGGAATCCCTTTGCCACTCGACTGATTTCGAGATATGCACGAGATCTCGGGCTTTCTTTTAGAGCGTCGAGTTGAATTACAGAATATTAATGTATTGGAAAGTTGTAAGCCCGCAGCACACGAGGCAATTTTTGCGGCTCCGCCGGCGCGCGATCGTCACTCCACACAAAATTTTGCTCTGCGTACGGGGGGGGGGGGGGGGGGGGGGGGGGGGGGGGGGGGCGGAAGGTCTAAGATCAGGGGGTCAGCCGATGACTTCCCTGCATCGAATCCGTCTTCCCCGGCATATCATGTGATGCGGAAATGTCCTCATTGGTCATGTACAAGAAGGCAAGATGCAGGGGAGGAAGCTGGCGATGGTCTCGCGACCATCGCCAGCATATTGCTCACTGCTCAATTTTTGGGGCGATAAAAATTGCCGTCGCTCAACCGTTGCCCCGTGTGCGAGGGTTCGGCGATGTCGCTGCCATGAAGACTCCCCCAAATTGTTGCATTGACCTGAAATTGACATCACAACCAGAAATCTCAATATAGTAGTCTCCCGAAATAATTTTAAGTTCTCATCAGCACGCTCGTGAACTAGTGTCATAGGGCTCTGGCAGGATGAACGAGAAACTCTCTTCAAAGAAGCTATTCAAGGAAAGGAAAGTCTATGGAATGTGAGGTGTAAGGACTTCACAGACCATCGCAAGAGGGCTTAGGCGCTGATTGAAGTTTCCCAGTCACTGAAGTGTGATGGTAGGTAGAGGGCTACAATAGTCCTGGAACTACCAGGGTAACTTTTGAACCATCTCGCCAAACCTCTCTTGGACAGAGCATACGGTCTATCACACTATGCTAAGGACTAAGAAGGTCCTTCGCATCCAGAAGAATCTTTTCGTTTCTCTCATTGCAATCCAAGGCCTCAACCACCTCTTTCTTGGATTCATCTGCTTCCTCGGCTTCTTCTGTTCCAGAATTAGAATTGAAATGCGCAAGAGCGCATCCAGGTGTCGCCATGTTAGCAGCAGACGACGAACTTTTTATTCCCTTGTGATTGGTTCCTCTGGGTCAGCATCGCCCATCCCTTGGCTTGCAGAGTGCTCCGTGTGCGTGGTTCCGTCTCAGAGACTCGGCGACTACAGCGAGAAGGGCGGAGTAAAAAAATTGCCTCGTGTGCGGCAGCCTTTAGAGTCTGTCATGCCATGAAATTGCCCATTATTTATACATACGGCTAGTCTCTTTCAACATGAGCATTGAAATTTGTATATCTTCATTAACTACTAATTAATCACTTGCAGGACAGTAGAGGTTCTTTTTTTTTCTTGCAAGCAGGCACCCCGAGGGCGAAAGATTCCTCATCCCGAGGAGGGAGAGGAGGAGACTCTGATCGTGCTGGAAACCCGACCCGATCCAGAAAGCACGGCCCTTACCAGTCGGACCTTGGAGGAATTCCTCCGTCCCTATTCCGTCCAGGATTCCCCTTCCCCTTATGCCATCGGATATTCTGAGATCACAGGAGTCCGGAAGGTTCTTCCCACCGGAAGAGGGTTCTCTCAACCACCTTCTTCTCTTCTGACCTTCCGGAGACCTGCACCTACCCAACTTCTCAATTATGGTCTGTATTCAAGTACACGTGAATGCGATTCAAGTTTTTTTTCTCAAGCAAGTGGATATCAGAATGCACTCAGGAGAAGAGAGAACATGACTTAAATTAGAAAATTATCGGATGATGCAAAAAAAAAAGGCGTCCTGTATGACGCCCTGAAAAACCGACTGCTGAAATTCTAGGTTCATAATTTGTTGGTATCACACTTGAAACACTTTTTTATATGCAGTTTCCTTCCTGAAAGTTCCGAGAGAGACTCAGTGTGTCAGTAGTCATACTCATGCCAAGTTTCAGCTTTTCATGCCTCTCCGTTTGACTGAAGCAAAAATATTCATTTGAAAACATATCCCCCCAAAGTGTGTGTCCCCAGGGCATGTACCCCAAAGTCGGATTTTTTCTGAACTCTGCATCCCAATAAGTACTTGTGTACCAAGTTTCAGATTTTTAACTTCTCTAGAACATGGTTAGAATTAGCGTCAGTCACTCATTCAGTCACCCAAGATCGTCTATATAAATTAGATTATCAAAGTAAATAGCGGCTCTTGCTCTTTATCCAAAGAACGTAGAGACTTCAGAACTTTCATGAAGCAAATTTTCGCGTGATTTCTGTTTCATACGAAAAAATAGACACATACGACATTTCTACAGTAGGTTTATGAAGCCTCAACAAGGACGCGTTTTTCTTTTGCGCCATCTGGTATAAAGCATCAATGGATCATACGGACGAGAGTGGATGAAACGAAGGAGCGCGTCCACAACTAGATCGATCATGGTCTCATATTTTCCTCTCCTAAGTAGCATCAAAGAAATTGGGAAATGATGAGGAAGAGTCTCACTTTCACAACTCGAAATTTTATTTTATTTTTATAAAAAGGGCACCTCTTAATAAATCTTGAATAACTGTATATAACTGAAAGTTTCAGGTTATTCACAGACTCCTGAAATCTCAAGCAATTTCTCTGAAATAGTCTTGTCGGGCATGCCATCTCCAAGTCTTAAAATTCTTCTAATTCTATCTTTCTATACGGTGTGCTGAAAATTCAGGGACCGGGTTCACGAAAAAATAATTTAAATAATTTAAGTTGCTCCCCTGGTTGCATTACTGTCGTCCATCACGACCACTAACTAATAGTCATTAACGGCGACACTAGCAATGCTTGAGAAAGTGAAGGATAGGAAAGGATCGATCAGAGGCTATGAACAGGTGAGACGGCTGTGAGAAAACCTTGTGAATTTTTAAGAACACCCCTTCAGCGCGTTCAGTTCCTCACTGGCGCATTGCATATGCTCACTACTGATCACAAGATAGAATTAATAGGAAATGCCTGGTGAAAGCCGAAACAAATCTTCTGTGTGCAGGGACTTTAATGAGACGTTTTAGTGCGAATGTAGCTTCCAATTATACGAGAAAAAGTGTTAATTTTTCCTTTTCAGTTCCTGAGCAATAACTTTTTTCTAATATGTTTCCAAAAGCGCTAATAACTTCATTTGATAATTTTATGCCACTTCAGAAAATTCGGTATGAACCGATCGTAAAAAATCGAAGGAGGTCGTCTCGACACTACGAGTTGACGTGCTACTCACTTAAGAGTCCGTGACTCCCTCGAAAACCTGATGACAGGAGCCCATAGCTAATACCAGCAAAATCGTGGTATCTACGTCTTACGAGAGGCAACCCGCTTGAGAGTTCCAGCATTCGTAAGCAGTGGGGAGGAGAGAGGGAGAGAGAGAGAGGGAGGGGGGATAACGATTCCTGGCTGTGGGTGGTCGCAAATAGAACTAAAGTCGGTTCCAGTGGGGTTCCTTCCACGTAACACGTATCCAAATCGAGCCATATGGTCCCCGATGCCTTCCCAAACACCACACGAACACATTACATCGTTTACTATCGTGGGTTAGGTTTACGTTTAGGCCTACCTGGACTAAGCGAGATAAGTAATAAACTTGTGTGGGTGTGAGGGTTAGGGTTGGGGGTTAGGGTCGAGGGGTAAGGTTGCCAGTCATCTCAAAGATGTGAGGACAAAGGCATTTCCGTTCCTTCCATGCCTTCCCTCATTCCACATTAGT